GGAAGAAAGTGAGCCAGTGGCAGGAGACACACAAAAAACGTTTCTGAGTCACAAGAGGGTTAAATAAATATTTTAGTTAAGTCTGACCCACAGCATGGGGAGTGGGTATTTCTCCACATGTTCTGAAATTCCACAATGCCTAATCCTATCTTTTAGTCAAACCATTATGTTCAAAAGTAAGAAAATATATGGGGAAAGAAAAACATTAACATCCTAACATATTAAAAAATAAAATACACTCAGTTACTAGAACTGCTGTTCTTTTCCTCATACTCTTCAGTATTATCACAAGGGCTCACCTAACTGAAGGCTGTTGTGTCCAGGCTCTGAGTTGAGTGCGTTACATATTTTATCTCCTCAAAGTCTTCAAACAACCCTTGGAGGTAAGCAACATAATTTCCTGCATTTGACATATAAGGGGAGCAAGGCGTAGTGAGGTCAAATGGCTTGGCTAATAAGAGGAACAGCCAAGACTAGAGCCCAGACAGGCTGTCTTGAAGCCCATGCTCTTTAACTATTACACTGTATCACACCATATTACGCTTAGTCATGACTTTCTACTGTTACGATTCAAATCTGTCACTTGACGGTTACCTCCAGGCTGAACAATACATATTTCTCCACTTGAGAGAGGTCTCATGTTTTTTGGTGTGTTACAAAATTACAGATGAAAATGACAAAGACCTACATTTCCCAAAGTTTCTAGATGCAAATTTGCAACAATAATTTTACGTTAATGTAAGCTTTGCCCTTAAAAGAGACTTTAACTTTGATGTGTAACAAACTGCATTAAGATGTTAAATCTGTAAGTCATTGTTAAAAAACAGTTTACTTATTTTAAGCAAAGAAAATGTTCCAGTCTTTGATATATGTTCTTAGAAACATGAAAATAAAATTCCTTTCCTCAACTGTCCTTTTCCATTTCACACATATTGATCTTTCCATATGTTTTAAATAACGATGAAATTAATAGGAACTGTTTTTAATAAACCCAAATCATGGTGCTTTTCAAGTCCAAATATTTTGGGGAAGACTGAGGTGAAAAAGCTGCTTAAGCATTAGGAAAAACTAAGAACAACCAAGAACAGCTTTAGAAGGGCAGTTGAAACATGGTGAGGAGCTGGGAAGGCAGCTGTGGAAAGCTATCTGGGGCTGGAGGTGGGAGGGTGCTCCAATCAGGAGGGGTCTGAGGAGGGGGGCCAAGGCCTGAGCCCAGGTCAAACAAGATGGAAGGAGAAACAGAACCAAGGACTGACTGACTGCTTGACCGGCCTGTTAGCTGTGAATCAAGGGGGAAGACATGCCCTGTTGGATGGCATAAGCCAAGCCTTGCCTCTGAATTCTAACAGCCTTTTTAAATGTGTGGCATTGGGCAAAAGTTCTTGATATTTTTTGAACCTTTGTTATTTAAACAATGGGTCATGATATTAATCTAACTGAATTGCAGAGAAGAATCGGTGGGACAACGTCATGCAGGTCCCAGTACAGAATCTGGCACTGTGGATGCTGGGGAACTGAAGACCCTCTGCCCCATCCCCACCAGCCCACCAGACACAAAGCAGCTGGGCAGAGGGAAACCAACTGGAAGATCCTTCATAGATAGGCTGGGTAGTCAGTCCCATAAGTCACCCCAAATTTTATTCATAATGTAGAGTTATTTTGAAAGTCCTTATGATCCTATATATTTTTTAAACCAGTAATAGGATCAATTTTTAAAAGAAATTCAGAGTGGAGGAAAAGTTTACAGCTATTTGAAAGCATTTTCTCAATCATACTAATAAACCATAAACTCAAACTGCACAAGTACTTGGGAAAATACTAGTTGATAAGGTCATTGTTTTAGCTATTAAATTATTAAGTTATTAAAATAGCTAAACCTGGTCCAAACAAAAACTGTTGGCTTGGAATGCACTACATTTTGGCTGTTCAGTCTACGTACCATTATTATTTTTTTAAATACAGAAAGGACTACAATTGTTTACATAATGAATTGACTACCATATTAAATGAAACCATGGTTTCATCTGATTGTATCATAGAACACGGTCTATGAGACATCTATTTTACAAATAGGTTTAAAAAAAAAATGTCTTCAATTACTATAAGCACCCTTATACCTAGAAAAAAGATTTTTAACATCTTAGAGCTTATTTCCAATTCAACACTTTATTAGTCACTACTGACATAGTTTTGATACCCTCATATTTAGGAAAGCATTTGTAAAATGACTATGCCACACCATCACGCTCACAGGGCCCTGGGTCTTGCAGCAGTTTTAAAGGCCAGCAGTGGCCCGTGAGCCGTACAGTGAGAGTTGTGCAGACAAGTGTGCCACCTGGAGGTGGAAGAAGGAAATTCACCTTGGATTTTATTTGTAAGACAAAACTAATAAATGTTAGACCATCTTAAATTATTTGCTATTACTTATCTTACTAAGAAATAAGGAAAATTTTTTATAAGGTTCTCTCTGCAAGAACAAAGGCTTTCAGTAGCAGGCTAGTGACTCTTTGAGAGCTTTCACAAGAAGGAAACAAGCTTTGAGATGGTACTAGTCACAGGTGCACAGTTCACCAATTAAAAAATTGAATTTAACTGTATTCTCTACAGTAAGTGCTTCTTGTCTTTTTATAATTAATATAATATCTGTTTTCAGAAGAACACATAAGTTCTGGAACAATCACCATGATCCATTTAGGCATGTGGACCAAAAGTTAAACTAATTATCAGAGACATTTCTTACTTAAATGAGAGAAGTTTCTTTCATTAGAAGGTTTTCTGTGTAATTTTCTTCTGGAAAGAAATAAGGTTTATTTAGAGTAATTCTGTTTGGCAGACAGGGCTTCTAAAACATATACCAATAATTGTTAAAGTTACAGCAAAACAGCCAATTCTATTAAGCACACATAAAAATTCAAGTATCTAATGGCTAGACAATAAGCTGATTATAAACAGATTTATGGCATCCCTGTTTTGTCTTAGGATTCTGGATATTGGGATCGCTGCTAGCAATGGGCCAACACTTAAGATTTACGTATTTTACAATGAACTACAAAAGTTCAAGCTTAACCAAAAACATGGCATATATTAAAATAATTTTAAAATGAAAATGACTTTAAGTATGAAACCTGAAAACTCTCTTTTTCTACACTGTAAAATCATATTTTTTGAAATTATGTTTTGGGTTCTCAAACTCTTATTTCACCTCATGTTGTTTCATTTCCACTCCAACAGCCTTTAAAATAGAAAGGTGATTCTAAATTCACATCCATTTATGTGACTTTCTAGAAAACTCATTCTAGGAATACTAAGTGTTTGTTGCTGCTGACTTCTAACTTGTTTTCATTAAATGAGAAAATTCTACAGTTGATTATTATTTCCAAGTAAATTTTTTTTCCCTGCAAAATCTTAGCAAAATACCTCTTTAAAGTACTGTGTTGTTAACTAAACCTTTGTCTTTTCTGTCACTGAGGGATTTCGTTATCTGTGAGAGTTCATTCTCTTCCTTATTTATATCCCTCAATCTTCCACACACCCTAAGTTGCATCATTCTGTGAAAGATGCTTCCACCTGCAATGATGGCTACAAATATCTGAGCACAGAGTACAAACATTTCTGCTTTCACATCTTATTTCTGCGTTTATTTAGGAAATAAATGAGACTGTGGGTCCAAGTCCAGCCTGTTACATAGAGATGTCCTCTACGCACTGCTGGAATTGGAGCAAGTATGACAAAGACAGCTCAGTAGGACAGTATGGTTATTACTTCAGATAAAAGCTCCATGATGAAAACTCATTGTGTACCAGGGGATGTATTGCAAGAATTTTAAATAGAGCTGAAGGGTCGAGAAGCTTCAAGAAGCATGTTCTGAAGCAACAGAGAAAAACTGCCTAATCTGGAGAATGACCTCTTACATGTATCCTAAGGGTATCAAAAAGGTCTGTGTGTCTCTATTATACATTCAAAGAATTAAAAAAATGCAGACAGGATGACTACTTGGTAGTTCATGAATGATTCAAGGTCACTGATAAGTAGCTACCATTTCAAGGGTAAATTCTGAAACATTCTCCATATCTCTAATTGGTCAAGAAGACCTAGTAATAACATGAAATGCTTTAAAACTTCTTGAATCTTTCCTATTCCTTCTTCCCATTCCCAGTGCTATCATCTTAATTCTCATCATTTTAAAGTTCTATATTCATTTAACCACTTCCTAATTAATCTTTCAGGCCCAACCTCCCACCCTATCCTACCGCTGTCACATTTTCAAATCCATCTTCCAAACTGAGTCCAGAATAATCTCTGTGAAGTACAAACCAATCCTATCACTTGCCTGTTGGATATTCATTCAGCAAATCAGGCCTCAGAGTTCCTGTTCCCATTGGCAGGGCTCTTCCTAAGGGAGACAGGCCAGGGACTGTCCACATCCTACCCTGCACGCCCAGGATCTATAAGAATGGGCTGTTTCTAGCAGCTCCTTTGACCTGTTCCCTTTTTAACCACCCTTTGGAAGAAATTAAGATAACTCCTCATCGAGAAATGTCAGGACATCTAATTTATGAGTGAGGTCTTGTACAAAAACATCCTAACTACTAAAACAATAGTTTTCAAACATTTTTAAATGACCAGAATAATTTTCTTCAAATAATATCTACTGCAGAACACCACCAAAAGTGGTTGAAAGAGCATTTTTGAATTTGACAACATAGGCTGAGGCTAGCTCATCTAGCACTATGTAAGCCACAGAATAAAGTTCAAATTTGGTTGGTGCAATGCAAGGTCAGCGGAGAAAAGAAACAGGGATGTGATGAAATCTGATTTACATTTTTGAAAGACCAATGTGGTTGCTGTGTGTAGAAGAGTTGAAACTACTGAGAATTTTAATGTGCTTGATGTATTTTCATGAACCCTAATTTAACCTACAAAAAGTCATATGCACTTTCCACCTTGTGGGCTTGTGTTTCCACCTTGTGGGCTACCGTGATAACAGAGTCACAGAATACCTGATCCTCGCTGGTTAATCCCAGGTGCATCACAAGGTAAAAATGCACCAGGAAGTCCGAGTTTGGCAAAACATCCTGGCGTCTGGTCATCATGGCACAGATCAGTCTGTAGGCTTGTAGTTTGCCTTCCTTATATTCATTTGGCAACGCTGTCGCCTGCCAAGGAGATGAGTTTAAAGATTTAATCAACTCCAGATGCAGAGCATTTCAACATTTCATTTACTTCTCAGTATTCTATAAGAGTTGTTTATGGAGATGAGGGATACAGTGGCTTTAGTAAGATTCAGCTTGTCTTCAAAATGTGCAGTCTTGGGCAATTACATTTTTTAAACTCAATTTCACAAAGGAAGAGGAAATTGCAATAAAGGAATAAACACATATCCACTTGCCTTAAATAGCCATGATGCAAACATTCTGAGTGGTGGGATCAGGACCGGTGGAGACGGAGAAGACTGGTTATCCAGGCTTATTGCCAGATTATCCCGTATCTAAGTCAGAGAGAGGAGAATTTTAGGAAAGGTCATGCTTAGCTTATCCCAACAATATTTCAATATTGTGTTCCATAGCCAAATAGCTGCTTCTCATTAAATTTCTGTACGTTGAGTAAAAACCTACAACATTTACAATTTTTTCTTTTACTGTGAGATCTACTGTAATTTTGAATTGTGTGTCCCACTTACTGGACATGGTTTTAGATTTAATACAAAACTAGGGCATTGTTTTCCCTAGAGTGTTAATGCCTGGGGAGGTCCTGAATTCTACATGGTAAGGAATGGCTTAACAAGTTATACTGTATAAATATAAATCGTTTTTGAAAAACAAAAATAAAAAACAAAAAACTTAATAACCTAGGGTAATCATACATTATAAACAAAAACCAGAATGAAAACCGTATGTATTCTAAGATTCTACCTTTGTAAAAATGTATTTAGCCACAGAAATAAAACTATATACGGGTTATCTCTGTGGGATGATGATGTTAATTTTCTTCTTATATTTTTCTATATTTTTCAAATTTTGTACAATAAAACCAGCATCACTTTTATAAAAGTGTATAGTGAATAGTACCCTATTCCTTTAATGTCCTATAGTAATATTCTCCGTATGTATTAAATAACTCTTCTGCATTTATAAAATGACCAAATTGTAAGTTATTACTTACTCTTTGACAATCAAACATACTTTGTCTACACACCTAATCCGTGTTCCAGAATACATTAATTGCAACACAGTTTTTATGTTACATGATAAATCAATTTCCCCCATTAGACTAACAGGTAATGTAGCAGGACATACCTTTGCTAGTTTGTACCAGAGTTCATAGAGATAGCCAAACACTTTGGCGTGAATCTTGGGTGACTGGATATTATTCACATCCCCGAGGATTCCCAAGATTCTTCGCCATAACACAGCAGCAGAGTCTGGGTGCCAACCAGTGAGGTTCCCTCCAGCAATTATACTACAGTCATCGGCAAGGCACTCACTGCTATCTATGGAGAAAAACATGTCTGTAAACACAATCTTGATTTCATCAGTACAATCTTTTCTCTTTAATGCAAATTACCGATGCTTGACAATTTATATATTCAGAGTAAAATAAGATGAAGATGAAAAGTGTGCAATGGCTGACGATTTGAAAGGATAGAAAAGCTGAGTCAATGAAGAAAGGTCAAATGACTTTGATTCCTCGAACTAAAAGGGCAATAACCTAGAGATGGTAAAACCGTTTCTGGAGATCCTGGGAAGGGAGGGTTTCATAAAACAGGGGAGGGAGGGGAAGGAGGAGAACCTTGGGCAGGATGGGTAGGGAACAGGGCCATGAAAAATAGGTGGCCAGGGAAGACCTCATTGCTGGGGTGACATTTGTGGAGGCTGTTATTAACTCAGGTTTATTGGGGTATAATTTGCTTACAATAAATTTTATCCTTTTTACACTCAAGGAGTTTTCAGAAGTGTATACAATCACGTCACTGTTACCACAAACTGTCATGAAAATTGATACAAGGAATAATCTCATCACTCCAAAAGTGCTCCTTTATAATAAGTCCCCTCCCTCCCTCTTCTTCGCCCCTTGCAACCACTGCTGTTTTCTGTCCCTATAGTTTTGCCTTTTCCAGAATGTCATATCAATGGAATCCTACAGTATATATTCTTTTAGTCTGGGTGCTGTCACACAGCTTAATGCATCTGAGATCCATCCGTGTGGTTGTTTCTTCTTATTGCAGATGAATATTCCATCTTATGGATGTATCCCACTTTATCCATTCACCTGTTGAAGGACATTTGGATAGTTTCCTGTTTTGAGTGATTATAAATAAGGTTACCATAAACATTTGCTTACAGGTTTTTGTGTGAATGTATGTTTATAGTCCTCTTTTTAAAGACCAGAATCACAAAATGACAGACAGTATTTCTTTGATATTTCTTCGTTTTAGTAGGCTATCTTCCAGGGGTGCCTGAGAAAGGAGCATGCCCCTACATATCTCGAAGTGTTTGTTCCCTGACTTGTAGTCCACAGTTTGGTTGGGTAGAGAATTCTATGATGGAAATGCTTTGCTCCAATTTTTTTAGAGTTTCCTTTGTGATTTTAGCAGCATTCTGATGCTTGAAATTATTTCATGAAAAATTATTAACTCCGCAAAATTTTAGCAGCCTCTTTTTGTACCTAGTGTTCAGAAGTCTCATGAAGTGCCCTGGTATCTATTTCCAGCCACTGTATTTGCCAATTCATTGGTGCTTTCAACTACTGACTTTCAAGTACTAACTTCCATTGACTTGATTTTATTTCTGCTGTCATATTTTTAATATCCAAAAGCTCTTTCTTGTTTTCTGTTCATTTTTATACCCTTGATCCTTGTTTCATGGATGCAATATATTCTTATTTCTCTAAAGATATTAATAGCTTTTAAAAATTTTATTTCTTCCCAGACTACTCCTTTTTTTGCTTTTTCATTCTAAATTTTAAAAAATTTTAGTGTTACATTAATTTCAGGGGTACAAAATAGCAATTCCATAATTCTATACATTACTCAGTGCTCATCAAGATTAAGTGCACTCTTAATCCCTTTCATGGGGGGATGGGTGAAACAGACTCCCCCATTTTTTTCAAACTCCTTTTAAGATACGCTCCACCCTACTTCATCTCATATTCTTCTATTTGTCTCATACTTTTCGTATTAGACATCCTCTTCAAATGGCTGGGGATCCTTGGCTATCTGTTCATATTTAAGAATGGTCCACAAAGAGCTGAATGGAAGTGTAGTGCACAGGTATGATCTTTGTTAAGTTTCACCATGTTCTCAGAGAACCTCAGACATACTTATCTTTAGGGTTTTGGTTTTTTTTTTTTTTTTTCAGAACTCAAATTCTAGGAAAAAGACTCTCTACTGCTCAGAGTATGCAAAATCTTATTTAGTTCCTTTGTTTTCAAGATAGCACCTCTACACTCAGCTCAGTATTGGTGACTCCAGGCCAGAAACCTAATTTATTTGCTCTTCCTTCTGGGATTAAATTCTAACAATCTTTTTTTTTTTTTTCAAATTTGAGGGTTTTTTTTTATGTTATGTTAATCACCATACATTACATCATTAGTTTTTGATGTAGTGTTCCATGATTCATTGTTTGCATATAACACCCAATGCTCCATGTAGAATGCGCCCTCTTTAATACCCATCACCAGGCCAACCCATCCTCCCACCCTCTCTTAAACAGACTTACAGTCTTCCTGGTTTTACCTCCTGCTTCTATAGCTACCTCTTATGGACAATTTTCTAACCCTTTTAGGGAAACTGCAGTAACTGTAGTCAGGTTGCTTCTTGGCTTTCCCTTGTACTGACACAGGATTCGGTGTTCTCAGGTCTGCCGATGCCTTGGTCACGTTGGTCACTACTGTCTTTTTTCCTGCCATCCTTGTCCTTGTGGATTTATGTCTAACTTAACATTAGACAAATGTCTAATTTAACATCCCCTATTGCTAACACCTTATGTAAGTATGGTACATCTACTATGATTAATGAACCAATGTTGAAACATTGTTATGTAAAGTCCATACTTCATTTAGATCTCTTTAGTTTTTAACCTAGTATCTTTTTTTTTCCTGTTCCAAGAGTCCATCCAGGATACCACATTATATTTAATTTCATGTTTCCTTCACCTCCTCTTGGCTGTGTCCTTGTTTTTGATGACCTTAACTGTTTTGAGGAGAACTGATCAGGTATTTTGTAGAATGTTGTTCAACTGGGATTTGTCTGCGGTCTTTCTCATGATAGGTTTTTTTCATCATATTATTATTCTTTGCTTTCACATTTCTGAAGTGAACTTCTCTTAGCTCTGATGTATGTATGATGTTTTCCCAATATTTTGGACTTCATTTGCTAATACTTTATTTAGTTTAGTTTATTTGTTGATATGTTTTTTAAATTTAATTTTATTATGTTACGTTAGTCACCACACATCATTAGTTTTTGATGTAGTGTTCATGATTCATTGTTTTCGTATAACACCCAGTGCTCCATGCAGTACATGCCCTCCTTAATACCCATCACCAGGCTAACATATCCGCCCACCCCCCTCCCCTCTAACACCCTCAGTTTGTTTCTCAGAGTCCATAGGTTCTCATGGTTCATCTTTCCCCCCATCCCCCCCTTCATTTTTCCCTCCCTTCTCCTAATGTTCTTCATGCTATTCCTTATGTTCCACAAATAAGTGAAACCATATAATAATTGACTTTCTCTGTTTGACTTATTTCAGTTAGCATAATCTCCTTCAGTCCCATCCATGTTGATGTAAAGTTGGGTATTCATCCTTTCTGATGGCTGAGTAATATTCCATTGTATATATGGACCACATCTTCTTTATCCATTCATCTGTTGAAGGGCATCTCAGCTCTTCCCACAGTTTGGCTATTGCAGACATTGCTGCTATGAACATTGGGGTGCATATGGCTCTTCTTTTCACTACATCTGTGTCTTTGGGGTAAATACCCAGGAGTGCAATTGCTGGGTCACAGGGTAGCTCTCTTTTTAATTTTTTGAGGCACCTCCACACTGTTTTCCAAAGTGGCTGTACCAACTTGCATTCCCACCAACAGTGTAAGAGGGTTCCCCTTTCTCCACAACCTCTCCAACAATTTGTTGTTTCTTTCCCTGTCCATTTTTGCCATTCTAACTGGTGTAAGGTGGTATCTCAATCACACTGAGGTCTTTAATCCATTTTGAGTTTATCTTTGTGTATGGTGTTAGAGAATAGTCGAGTTTCATTCTTCTGCATGTGGCTGTCCAAGTTTCCCAGCACGATTTATTGAAGAGACTGTCTTTTTTCCATTGCATATTTTTTCCTGCTTTGTTGAAGATTATTTGACCATAGAGTTGAAGGTCCATATCTGGGCTCTCTATTCTGTTCCATTGGTCTGTATGTCTGTTTTTGTGCCAGTACCATGCTGTCTTGGTGATCACTGCTTTGTAATACAGCTTGAAATCAGGCAATGTGATGCCTCCAGCTTTGTTTTTCTTTTTCAACATTTCCTTGGCAATTCGGGGTCTTTTCTGATTCCATTAAAATTTTAGGATTGTTTGTTCCAGCACTTTGAAAAATGTCATTGGAATTTTGATCGGGATGGCGTTGAAGGTCTAGATTGCTCTGGGTAGCAGAGACATTTTAACAATGTTTATTCTTCCGATCCATGAGCATGGAATGTTTTTCCATCTTTTTGTGTCTTCTTCAATCTCTTTCATGAGTGTTCTGTAGTTCCTAGAGTATAGATCCTTTACCTCTTTGGTTAGGTTTATTCTGAGGTATCTTACGGTTTTTGGTGCTATTGTAAATAGAATCGTTTCTCTAATTTCTCTTTCTACAGTTGCATTGTTAGCGTATAAGAAAGCAACTGATTTCTGTGCATTGATTTTGTATCCTGCCACATTACTGAATTGCTGTATGAGTTCTATTAATTTGGGGGTGGAGTCTTTTGGATTTTCCACATAAAGTATCATATCACCTGCGAAGAGAGAGAGCTGACTTCTTTTTTGCCAATTTGAATACCTTTTATTTCTTTTTGTTGTCTGATTGCTGTTGCTAGGACTTCTAGTACTACGTTGAACAACAGGGGCGAGAGTGGGCATCCTTGACGTGTGAGATGGACTCTTTTTCCTTTTTCAATACTGACCTTGTCTGATTTTACTGTCAAGGTATCACAAGGTAAATAACAGAATTTAGGGAGCTTTCTTCCTAATCTCTGGAACAGGAAAAGATAGCTTCTCTTTTATTTGAAGCTTCAGTAAAACAGGGAATTGTCCTTTATTTTTATAATCTATTCAAATTAACCTACTATATTGTTTTTTAAAACTTATATTGTTTATAGTTCTGTTCCCTTTTCACCCTCATTAATTTTTCCTTGATTAATCGTGCTTACTTGGCTATTTTATTCTTTTAAAGAGTGGTTTTTGATTCTTTGCTTTCTAGTGTATATGTGCATGCTCTTAGCTTTATTATTTCC